TTACGGCTGTTTGTCCCCAGCACAATTGGAGCGTTTGGTCCAACCTCGCCCAGAAACCCGACTCCAGATTTGTGCATACAGAGGCCAAGGACAATCTATGGGGTGTCCAAAGTCCATGCGGAGCTAATGGGAGAGGTATGAAAGCCAAATAAAAAGTTGTATTTCTTTCTGAACTCATAGAACTGGGGGGTGGCAAGCGAGAGCTAGAGAGCTACAAAGTAACATTGTTTTTTGACTTTTTGCCATAAAATATATCCCAGTAAAAAAAAAAAATCGAAGTTCATCGTGGGTAGGGTGGTGGGTGCACATGCACCCCCTACCCTACCCAGAAATTAAATTATAATTTTATATATAGATTGCCACCCTGTAGCAGTACACCTGCTATGGGGCAGTCTTAAAGTGTATAGAGACATACAAAGTAACATTGTTTATAAACATTGATCAGACGGGAGATCGAGAGAGATATACAAAGTAACATTGTTTGTATATATCTCTCGATCTCTCGATCTCCCGTTCTGATCGATGTTTATAAAACAATGTTACTTTGTATATCTCTCTCGATCTCCCGTCTGATCGATGTTTATAAAGTAACATTGTTTATAAACATCGATCAGACGGGAGATAGAGAGATACAAAGTAAAATGGCTAGTCCTTCTGTTTTTGTTCTGAGATCCATCTGCATCTGATGTCTGGTAAATCACTTGAAATGCCTGGGCTGGTAGGAAGGGCTCCCGATCGAATGGCACTGTGACTTGCTGCACAGCACTGACATCATTGGGATCCTGTCTTACTGACTCTCTATTATCAGTACTTGACCATGAGCTGTAGTTCTGAGCGTAGCAGAACCAGACCGTGAGATATATATATATATATATATATATATATATATATATATATATACACACACATACACAGCAGCTAAATATTAAGGCCCACCCTGTCCTGTTGCCATATATGCAAATAGCTGTCATAAATGGTTACGTAATAGCCAAATGATTGCTGAATAAATGGGCTCATAGCAGAAATGTATAAATTGCTCCAGTCCACGTGGGAAGGGGGGGGGGGGGGTGGAGGTCGAGCTGAAATGTTTAATATCAATTTAGATTTTCTAGGACAGTATTGTGTAATAAATTCCTAGCAATGACATAATGACGTCCTCGCTCGGAGCTGACTCATTAATGTGCTTTTTGCAGCATAGACGTCTCTCCCGGTGTTTTTGGTAATATTGGGCAGTTGATGCCAACAAACATTCTGATGGGAGAATGAACTCTTTATATGTCACAAGATGCATCATTCTGCTGCCTTGGCAGTTTGCTAATGTTAACATCCACCTGTTCATGGACAGGGACACCTAGCCAAGACAAACCGCCAAAAGCACAGTCCGTAAAGGAATCCTGAAATAAACCCGAGGGACACAAATTTCCACTTCAATTGCGCAGGTTTAAATTTAGCCCTAGTTCACATCGAATGTGGCTTTTAAATTGCGCTACTTCACTTGAAGTAGTGCGATTTCAAAGCTGCTGGTCAGGGCGATTTTTTTGTGCGCGGCTTGCCTGACATCTGTGCGACTTCATGCGCACATGTCTATGTAAATTACACATGAAATTCCCCAAAAACCATGCAGGAACCTTTTTTCAAAACCAGTGATGCACCATAAAGTCGGAATTGCACCAATTTGAACGGTTTCATTGCCGGAACTGACAAATCGCACCAGTGTGAACCAGGGCTCAATGTTGCCTTTTATCTTATACACCTGGTTGAGGCTGGGTACTTCATTCTCGTTTGGGGGGTTTTTTTTTTTTTTTTTTTTTTTTTTTTTTGAATGACCCTGAAACTGAACTTGTATAAATATAGGCCAGTGTGAATCTCATGCCTAGCCTTTTTCGCAGAAAAGAATCTGTCTCCTCCATATAGCACTGATAGCCATTATAGAGTAGTCAAGTGTTCAGCTAGAAATCTGGCACCTCATAGATTGAGCATCTGCCTTGACTTGGTCTGTCTGACCTGCGTAATGGCTTTTTTCATTAAAGGCATACTCTAGGTGCAAGATACCTAAAGCTGTATCCTAGGAGATATCAGGGGTGTAGATGAGGGGAATATGGGGGTCTGAAGGCCCAAAGAACATTCACAGCATCAGTTTGCACTAAAACTGGGTGTAGCCACCGCTTCTGATGACTGTGATAGACAGCGTTCATTCAGAGAGAGGGAGGTTCTCTTTTATTTCCTCCTGACACAGCCCCAAAGGAGGACTTCCCTTACTGAGCTCACTTTGAACTGCCTGCTCTGGTGGGTTTCATGGAGGGGGAGAGCTGTACTGGGGGGGAGACAGCTACTGTTGGGTCTCATGGAGGGGGAGACTGTACTGGGTGGGAGAGCTGTACTGGGGGGGAGACGGATACTGTTGGGTTTCATGGAGGGGGAGAGCTGTGCTGGGGAGAGAGCTGTACTGGGGGGGGGGAGACAGCTACTGTTGGGTTTCATGGAGGGGGGGGGGGAGCTGTACTGGGGGGAGACAGCTACTGTTGGGTTTCATGGAGGGGGAGAGAGCTGTACTGGGGGGAGACAGCTACTGTTGGGTTTCATGGAGAGGGAGAGCTGTACTGGGGGGGGGGGGGGAGAGCTGTACTGGGGGGGGAGCTGCTGTACTGGTGGGAGACAGCTACTGTGGGGAGCTATACGGGGAGGGAAGATTTGTAATGGACAGAGAGGATCTTTGCTAGTGGGGTGGGGAGATCTGTACTGGGGGAATTTTGGCTTGGATAGAGAGGTCATTTTTATTGCGCTCTATTGACCTGTGCCTCATGCAATGGCAACCCCTGTTAGACTGTTGCTTGTAAGTAAAAAAATATATTTTGTGAACAAGGACTATGCTATATGTTACCCTGTACACAGTGAGTAGGCTTAAGCTTTAATGCATTTTAGCCACACCCACAACTCACCTCTAGGTGCCCATGACTGAACCCCACTCACCCCCCCCCCCCAAAAAAAAAATAAATCTATGGTCTTGGCACATATAAAAAGACACAAATTAATGCAAAATAATATGTGGGGCCTTGCAAACTACTATGGTGCCAAAAAGTATTCTATTAACCAATAAAGTGCTGTGAAATAATTTAACAATTAAATTGTAATAGTAGATCGTAGATCGCCTACATGTCACACATACCCATACTAATGTATTCTACCAAATCAGAAATAAAATGATAGTGTCGCGCTCTACTGACAAGTGAATAAATAGTTCCAAACACAATATTACTATCCAAAAAAATTCTTTTGTATCCAAATACAGTATCACTTTTCCAAGACTAAGTGTCCATATTCAATCTGTGACTTCACACTCTTTCTGGTGATGCAGACAAAACGATTTGTGTTCAATTCACCACTATTGCGTAGTTGTAACAACCATATGTGCACCTTCTCCGGCTGTGCTCTCGCCTGTAAATATGACCAAACCGTTAAGTGAGGCCATATACTGTATGGCTTGTGTCCCTTTTAAATTGGACTTAGGGCTGGATAGGATGGTCACTCTTCAAAAGTTAGGGATCCCCTCACTTCCTTAAGCCTCTTCCTCCATAGGTATATATGCCATAAAGAGTATTAAAAACATAGTGCCTTATATTCTTTTAAAACATTTATTAAACATATAGTAGTGCACTCACATGTAAATGCTGATAAAATCGCCTTAAAATGAATACACAGTGTGTGTTAGCATTCAATACTGTGTACTTGCTGTGTATTGCCTGTCTCCTTAAGTGTCATGACATCAGAGCCCCTCCCCTGCGCGTTGCGCCACTAGGTCACATGGCTTCATCAGCCGGTTTCCAACTGCACATGTGCGAATCGTGCTGTGCTTTGTGAATAGGCCGCAGTCCACTGGGACCTGTGAAATGTCCCAGAGGACTGTGGGGGGGGGGGGGGCAAGGAGGGTGATCGGCACAGCGTGTGGGTGGGGGGCAATTACTACAAGCGATCTCCTTAATTGCTCGCTGTGCAGCAGCTGAAAGATGGCTTCTTCTCCTCTCCCTCCTGCTGATTTTTAGCTACTGCAGAGAGAGCAATACAGGGGATTGGTTCCAGTAACTGCACCTCCGCGGCACCCATCACCCTCCCTGTGCCCAATACATTTTCCCCTGTGTGCCTTCACCCCTGCAGTGCTGCCGGCTTCCCACCGGCAGCTGCAAGCACACAATGGAGACCTTCATGATGGAGAAGGGTCCATAAAATCTCACATTTACCAGGCCCCCCTTTTTTTTTTTTTTTTTCTCCCTGAATGAACACAATAAGTGATCAGTTCTGATAACTCACTTTGTTCATTCATAACTGAAGCTTAGTAAACTTTTTTTTTTTTTTTTGAGGGGGGCCCTGTCAGGTTGGCTGTATGGGGCCCCATGGTTTCTAACAGCAGCCTTGACTGGGAGCTGAAAGATGTGCTGTCTGCAAAAGTGTTGACAAGGAAAATGCTGATGGGAGGACAAAGCAGAGTGAGCAAAGAAATGACCATATTAATCTGTTGCTGTCCTTTCACTGTCCATTCACAGGCTGGGAGCAGAGGGAGGACACCACTGTATTCCTTAACTGTAAGTGGTGTCATCCACCTGGCTATGAAGTGTGGCATAGCTGTGTAAATCTTAGGACTGCATGAACAATAATGCAAATCCTATGGGGGGGGGGGGTGTAAAAAGTCTCCAATATGTTTCTTACCTGTGTATGTAGCTGTTTGCCTGGAATTTAACTTTGAAATCTTCTTGCTTTTATTTCCTCAGTATTATCACTACCGGTATGGCTTGGACTTCCGATGCCTCCGATACCCAGGGATCATTTCTGCCGATTCCCAGCCAGGAGGAGGAACAACAGGTATGGGTTTTTTTTACTTCTTGGTATGATAGAAGACTCCTATTCATTGTAAAGAATATCATCCTTATGTTAGTAGTGCTTTGCATGAAGCTATAGTAAAATACTGTGTATGTATGCATTTGTTTGCTTTTCTCTCCAATGTAAAAGCAACTCCTTAGTGATGATCTGAACTGCCTTTTGGTTCAGTTCAAACATTGTTTTTTGGCAACGTTCATAGACGTTTTGATGCCAAACCAGAACCGCACTGGAGACAATGCAAATCAAATTAAAAATGCCCATTTTACTGGCACCATTGGTGATTAAAAAGATAGGTGTAGGTGAGGCGCCGAACTCAGATCTTGAACCCGTAGAAAGAAAGTTGGTTAACACTAATGGATTGGACTCTGCAGCTCTCCAAAAAAGGGGGACGTCCCAAGGAATAGGGGTCACTGGGAAATCCAGATATAAATGAGCCATGAAAAAGCGCCAAACAGGTAGTGCAACAGCCTCATGAATGGAACACACACCTCCCTTGAAACTTATCTCTGCATCTTTCTACCTCCAGACTATGCCGTCCAGATCTTCCATGATGCCATCAAAACTGGAAGGTTTGTCTGCAACTTGAAACCAGACACTCGCTTGCCCATGATGTACATTGATGATTGTCTGAGGGCGACGGTGGAGGTGCTCCAGGCCCCCTCAGAATCCCTCACCATGAGGACATACAACATCAACGCCATGAGCTTCAGCCCCGAGGAACTGACACAAGAGGTGCAGAAACATCTACCCGAGCTGGAAGTTATGTACAATGTGGACCCAGTTCGACAAGCCATTGGTAAGTGTTTCATCAAACTGAACTTTATTGTAGACAGAAACTCAGCTTCAGATGTAAAAAAGACTGAAAACAGTCTTTTGGAATTTTAGTGACTTTCATTTAAATTGTTGCTAAACTAAACCGTAAAGTCAGCCTCAGGGGCGGACTGACCATTTGGAAACTCGGGCACTGCCCGAGGGCCCGGGGTCAGTAGGGGGCCCCATGAGATGCCCCTGGTACCTTTTTTCATAGGCTTTTTTGAGTTTGGGCAAGGGCACAGGAGCCCCTTGATCCCCTATTGCCCAGGGGCCCCATGAGTTGTTAGTCTGCCCCTGGGCAGCCTGTATATGCAGTAAAGCATGTTTGTTATACTCCCTGTGGAACCCAAGGGGTTAATCCTCTTCATTTTGAGGCTGGTTTATCCTGTCTTCTCTGATCTGCCCCTTCTTCCACAGTCCCCAATCCATCTGCTGATAGTACAGAACCCTAGGAGTCACTCTGCACATGCTCAGTTTGGTGTGTATTGCTAAATACCGGTTTGTTTGGTTGTTTTTTTTTGGGGGGGGGGGGGGTTGCGTGTGATCAGCACAGGGCAAATCAGCATTGTCCAGACAGAGGGTCAGGGGTCATACAGCCTCATAGGACAGTCAGAGGAGAATAAAAATTCCTCCTACAAGCTTTAACCAGTGCTTGGTCGGGCACTGATAAAAATCACAAGACTGTTATACACTGCTGATGAAAAAGGGTATTTAGCAGTTTATATTTACTAAAATATTTGCATTTCTGTGTACTGTTGGAGAGCAGATTTAAAGAATGCAGGGTCATGGGTTTAGTAACACTGTAAAAGAATCCTTGGTGATTCTGCAGGCTTGGCCATAAAGTAGGAATGATCCATAAAGTGGGTGGTGCGTAATGGTTTGTATGTCATCTTTTCCCCCTTGCTTCACTAACCAACTAGCCAATGACCCCGCCCAACAATAAGTCCAAGTAAGTGTCGCGGCAAGAAAAAAGCACACAATAACCCCTAGTAAGTGGCATGGCCAGCAGTACCTACAGCAAATGTCAGGCCCAGCAATTACAAACCCTATTAAGTGGTATGGCAAGCAATAACCCCCAGCAGGTTTACAACCAACATTGCCAACCCCCACAATAAGTCCAAACAAAATTCATGCCAAGTAATAACCCCCAGCAAGTGCAGAGCTAACATTTACAACCCCCAGCAATAAGTCCAAGCAAATTTCATGCCAAGCAATAACCCCCAGCAAGTGTCAGGGCAAGCAATAAACCCTAGTAAATGGCATTGCCAGCAAGTGTTAGGGCCAGAAATGACAACACATAGTAAGTGGTAAGGCAAGCAATAACCCCCAGCAAGTGCAGAGTCAACACTGAAAACCCCCAGCAATAAGCCTAAGCAAATTTCATGCCAAGCAATAACCCCCCAGCAAGTGTCAGGGCAAGCAATAAACCCTAGTAAATGGCATTGCCAGCAAGTGTTAGGGCCAGAAATGACAACACATAGTAAGTGGTAAGGCAAGCAATAACCCCCAGCAAGTGCAGAGTCAACACTGAAAACCCCCAGCAATAAGCCTAAGCAAATTTCATGCCAAGCAATAACCCCCAGCAAGTGTCAGGGCAAGCAATAAACCCTAGTAAGTGGCATTGCCAGCAAGTGTCGGGGCAAGCAATAAACCCTAGTAAATGGCATTGCCAGCAAGTTTCAGGTCCAGAAATGACAACCCATAGCAAGTGACAAGGCAAGCAATAACCCCCAGCAAGTGCAGAGCTAACATTTACAACCCCCAGCAATAAGCCCAAGCAAATTTCATGCCAAGCAATAACCCCAAGCAAGTGTCAGTGCAAGCAATAAACCCTAATAAGTGGCATTGCCAGCAAGTGTCAGGGCCAGAAATGACAACACATAGTAAGAGGTAAGGCAAGCAATAACCCCGAGCAAGTGTAGAGCCAACACTGATAACCCTAAGCAAATTTCATTTCAAGCAATAACCCCCTGTAAGTGTCAGGGCAAGCAATAAACCCTAGTAAATGGCATTGCCAGCAAGTGTCAGGGCCGGAAATGACAACACATAGTAAGTGGTAAGGCAAGCAATAACCCCCAGCAAGTACAGAGCCAACACTGACCACATGCAGCAATAAGCCTAAGCAAATTTCATGCCAAGCAATAACCCACTGCCAGTGTCAGGGCAAGCAATAAACCCTAGTAAGTGGCATTGCCAGCAAGTGTCAGGGCCAGCAATGACAACCCATAGTAAGTGGCAGGACAAACCATAACTACTAGTAATTCTATAAGCCGGCCTAGAGCAATGATATGGCTGGAAGAGATCAGCAGCACTGAGATAGGGGGAGGGAAAAAAGCCTGAGTAGCAGTATTGCAATGTACATGCTGTTAGGAAGCATTTATCACAGAACCTTTCTCCTTAACCAACATGTTCTGTTCTTTTTTAGCGGATAGCTGGCCAATGAACTTTGATGACAACAACGCTCGCAAGGACTGGGGCTGGAAACATGAATATGACCTGCCTGAGCTGGTAACGACAATGCTTGGACACTTGAACAGCGAACATCTGGCCGTGCAAGCCAACTGAGACCAATTTCAATGGCCACCAGCTCCATGTCATGTCAATGTTTCGCATGTCCTGGATGGGAGACTTAATTAGAGTACACCACAGTCCCCCCCCCAACTGCTACAACTACGAAACTATTCTATGTATGTATGTATGTGTGTGGACATCACTTTTATTTGTTTTAATGAATTGGTTAGGAGTGGCAAGGTGTGAATCCATGGAACATTACTTGAAATTTTCTACTTTCAGGGTCAGGACAGCAGTAGTCATCCTGCTTCTTTTACAATGATTAAAGCTGAACTCCGGACTTTCCTTTTAATCTTGCACAGTTGTACCGGCTCCTCTCCTGGACTGAAATGGCTTACTCTGATGTCACTGCACACTGTTAGCTTCTCACAATGTGCATTAGAAGCTGCAGTAAGTCAGAGAGTCATTTCCTGGCTGGTCTCCAGCCCACCCCTTTTAATTTATTGGTATCTGTTCTTTTAATTATGGAGGCTCAGCATCATATGTGGGTGTTACCTAGGCTGCATCTGCATGCAAACCGCCCTATCTAGGACCTCCTGCTCCTCCAGACTGATGGCTACCCATCAAGGCTTTTTAATATTCACATATAATAACTAATTTGCATCAGGACTGAGGGCTCTTGAGAGGAGTACTGAGGCAGGGTGCTGTGATGTTTTCAGGAAGCTAAGCACAGCACACTACCTGCCCCTCCCACCAGCCATGATCTGCCTGCAGTGCAAAGAGAAGAACAAAGACCTAGTGATGACATCACTTGGGTATAAAAAAGTATGTCATAAAAATGGAAAGGCTTTTTTTTTTTTTTTTTTTTTTTTTTTTATTATAATTAACATCCTGATACAGGGAAAGGAGGAACCAGGGAAGACAATTCAAGCTTTAAAGTGGACTTCTACTTAACATTTTAACTAAAAACCATCTTTTATTTCTTTCTTTCAATGCAGGTTACTTATTGTGCTTCCTATAAAGATAACCTGTTACTTTGTCTACTGCAGTCTGGAGGTCAGACTTTGTCTATTGCAATTAAAGTGTTACTAAACCCACAACAGTAAAATCAGTCTATATATGCTGTAAAGCATGCTTGTTATACTCACTGTGCAACCTAAGGGGTTAATCCTCCACATTGTGTAAAAAGGCTGTTTGATCCTGTCCTCTCTGATCCTCTCCTTCTGCTGTCCCCAATCCATCGGCTGATAGTACAGAGCTTTAGGAGTCAATCTGCACATGCTCAGTTTAGTGTGCATGGCTAGAGAGTTTTTTTTTTTTTCTTGGGAGGGGGATGGTGCATGTGATCAGCACAGGGCTAATCAGCACTGTCCAGGCAGAGGGTCAGGGGTTATGCAACCTCAGTGACAGTGACAGTGAAAGGAGAATGAGAACTCCTCCTCCTACATGCTTTAACCAGTGCTTGGCTGGACATTGATAGAAGTCACAAGACTGCTATATACTGCTGAAAAGAAAAGGTATTTTTACTAAAACAATTGCATTTCCATGTTGTGTGCACTGTGGGAGACCAGATATAGTGAATGCAGGGTCCGGGGAGACCAGATATAGTGAATGCAGAGTCCGGGGAGAACAGATATAGTGAATTCAGGGTCCTGGGAGCATATAGTAGTGAATGCAGGGTCCGGGGAGACCGGATATAGTGAATGCAGGGTCCGGGTAGACCGGATATAGTGAATGCAGGGTCCTGGGAGACCACATATAGTGAATGCAGGGTCCTGGGAGACCACATATAGTGAATGCAGGGTCCGGGGAGACCAGATATAGTGAATGCAGGGTCCTGGGTTTAGTAACACTTTTTTTAAGCATGTTACCTAATATGAGCTTATTCAAATGATGAACCGTATGTACTATAGTGCGTTCCAAGCTTGTAAATAAATATAGTATACTATACAATAATAAAAGAAAATGTTTATGGCTGATAAATCCTAAAATTACATAAAAGAAGGTTTGTATTTTGTGTAGCCCATAATTCAAAGATCACAAATAAACCTCCATATATACCTCCATATACATACAACCTCACTATTTTTCCATATAAAAACTGAAATACGCCTCCATATATAACTTCAAATATGTAACCTCCAAAACCCACTGCTCAGCCCTCTGTTACTTTGTAGCCATCAACATTATATTGCAAGAGTAACTATTCTCAATTCATTAATGATGATTCCACCATTAGAATTAGGGTGACCCAACACGTTTCCCAGATTCAAAGATCTTCT